AAATAAAATTCCATATGTGGCTCACATCATATTTCTTTTGGACAGGACTAGTCTGGGGTAAAGAGGGGGTCTCGACATCTCTGAATGTCCTCCTGGGTGGAATTGTTTAGGCAGAAGACGACATAAGCCTGAAAGCCTGAAAACTAAGCCAGGTCTTGTCAAAGAAGAATGACTTCTGAGCGTCTCTTTCTCGTTTCCACTATCAGTAAAGGCTTTCTTTCTGGGGTCCGCATGTGCTGGGCACCCTGCTAGATACTGAAGCTATAGGATAAACCAGGTGGAGATGGTCTTGCCCTTACGAAGCATGATTCAATCCCTCTCCTCGGACATTTTCCCTTCACTGCTGCCACCCTTGGAGGAAAGCCAGTGGGGGAAGGAAGCACAGCACTTGTTATTACTTTTGTTTGTTTGCAATTGTGATGAAATTTGTGGAATGCTTGCTCTGCCTTCTTCAGGCTCAGTGAATGCCTTGTCTCGCTGAAAGTTCACTCATAATTCTACAAAGCAGGAATTATTATTATTCCCATAAAGAGCAAGAAACTGAGGCATGAAGAAGGAAAATGACTTGCCCAAGCCACACAGCTGGTTAGAGACAAAGCCCAGATTGAAACTCAGATCTGCCTTAATCCCGTTCCCGCTGGCAAGTGCTATAACCCTACACTTCATTTCCTCCTCAATACACCGGCGACACTCATACTAATGGCTCCAGTTCATGGATATTTATTATGTGTAGGCACTGTCCTAAGGGCTTGATGCTTACATATTTACTCCTCACAATTCCCTTCAGGACTGTGGTTCTTGTCATTATTATTATTATTATACAAATGAGGAAACTGAGTCCCAGAAATTGAAGGAACAGGTTCAAGATCATACAGCTACTAAATTGTGGCATTATTTGAATGTTAGTCCTCCTACATTTAGAGTTCTCTAAAGATTCCATCTTTTGAAAATACCCATAAAAGATATTTTTTTTAATGTATCTGGTAGGGGGTGCGTGGGTGGCTCAGTCGGTTAAGCGTCTGACTTTGGCTCAGGGCATGATCTAACTGTTCTCCAGTTTGAACCCCGCTTGGGGCTCTGTGCTGGCAGCTCAGAGCCTGGAGCCTGCTTCCAACTCTGTGTTTCCCTCTCTCTGCTCCTCCCCCACTCATGCGTACACACACTCTCTCTCTCTCTCTCTCTCTCTCTCAAAAATAAATAAGCATTAAAAAAATGTGTTTGGTAGCTAAAAGCCAACTCTCTTTGATTAGGGACTAATATCTCAAGCCATTTTAGAGAGAGGAATGAGGACTTTCTAGAGCTACTCTCTCCTCCCTTAAGCAGCCAGAGGAGAAAAACACTGTCTGATGCAATTCAAAGAAGGTACAAATCCTCCTAAACTCATCCTTCAGAGTTGGAAACATTCTGCATGGTCATCAGTCCAAACCTCTCATTTCACAGATGAGCAAATGAGAGATAAAGGGACTTGCCTGAGGCCACACAACTGGTTTGTAGCAGAGCAGGACTGGAGCATGTGTAGTTTCTCACAGTGTTTGACTCTCTCCATAACCTACACAGCCTCCCGAGGTCTGAGGAGGTCTGGGGAAATTGGAGGGAGGAAGTGAGCTGCACTATTGGCTGACAGGAAGCAAAGCTAACACTGTCTCGTCGCACGCACAGTTTCTATGCCGTCCCCAAAGCAAATTGAGCACAGCACTGAGCAGGGTCCTGCGGGAGAACCACTAGGCCAGTCCATGCTTGCTTTAAAATCCACAGCACACCACTGCTGTGACAGGCAAACAGGACAAACCATAGAAAAACAGCATTAACTGTGCACGTGAAAACAGAGGCTTTTTCTTTAGTTGCTTTTTTTTTTCTTTTAATCATGTGCAATTCCAGGCTTTTTCAGAGGGAGTGTGTGTCACTGGATAGAGCAGCAGTGATTCTTGACCGGCTGGACAGGTTTAGGAAGTTGTGTTGAGGAGGAGACGCCTCCATGAGACGCAGATGACTCTCCGTTGCTGATCCTGGAAAATTTCACACACAGTGACAAAATTTTAATTAGCAACCTGGACCTAAAGCTGTTCCTGGATGCTACTCACCAGGCATCAAGCTGTTCGATGGCTCAGGAGCCCACCAAACCGGGACTTGCTGTCTATCCCTGCACACACTGACACTTTTCACTTTTGTCCAGGGTGTTCTCCCTTCCTGCCGTCTCTCTCCTTCCTGACACTTATTTTGGACGCACTCTTCCCTCAGGCCTTGCTCAAAGGTCAGAAATGTCTTGAAGCTTTTCCAGACCACTTTCAGCTGCTAATCACTCCTTTTCAGCAGTCTTAAGACGAAGGTCCCACTGCACTTAGCACCTAGTTAACTAGTTCATAGTTGGTTTGCATTTACCCGTCTCTTTACGTGTATGTTCTGTCTCCTGAACTGTAATTAAGCCACTCAAAGCAAGGGATAGATCTGGTTCTCCCCATGAATCCCAGATTCCTTCCTGGCACAGAGCTATGAGAGCAGCAGGCATTCAGTAAACCTCGGCTACTACTGATGACAGTATGATGATAATGTCGATGCAGGAGAAGGAAAAGGAGAGGCAGAGAAAGATAGAAAGTAAATCCTGTTCAAGTAAAACGGTCATAGAAAACCTACGGGACAAATTGGATTACTACAGAAACCAAGCTCCAGGCCAAAGAAAAGTGGTACAAATGATCAAATTTATGTCTGTGAGACTTGTGCCTGCCACATTTGTCACACCTGGTTCCACAGGCCATTTCATTGGTATTCAGTGCAACACAGGATCTTCTTATTTCCCTCCTTGAGGAGCTCACTATCACGGTTAATTTTAAATGTCAACTTGACCGGGCCACAGGGCACACAGACGTTGGGTCAAACATTATTCTAGGTGTAATGTGAGGGTGTTGCTGGATGAGATTAGGATTTGTGTCAGTAGACTGGTAAACGGATTGCCCTCCCTGATGTGGGTGGGCCTCCTCCAATCAGTTGAAGGCCTGAATTAAAAAAAGAAAGATTGAGTAAGACAGATCTCCTTCTGCCTGATTGATGAGCTGGAACATCAGTCTTTTCCAGCCTTCATTATTGAACTGAAAATTTGACTCTTCTTGGGTCTCAAACCTTCTGTTTAGACTAGAACTGACACCATCAGCTCTCCTGGATCTCCAGCTTGCTCACTGCAGATCTTGGGACTTCTCAGTCTCCATAATCACATGCGATCTGTATCCATAGCTCTATATTTATATCTGTATCTCCTATTGATTCTTTCTCTCTGGAGAACCTTCACTAATTCGCCCACCTAGCTGGCCTTCTTAACTGAGCAGCAGAAGTCCGGACTCCGCCACAGCACGGAAGATATAAACTGGAAGAAAAGGATAATACCAAGATATGGGTAACTACATCTTGACCTCGGGTTTGTGGCCATTTGTCTAGCCCTATATTTCCCACATCAAGGCGTCTTCATTTGGCAATTACATCTAAAATCTGTTGTGTTGTCACCTAAAACTAAGGTTCTTATTTTTCTCTTAATGTCTTCTCCAGTTCATGACAAGCCCCATCAGTGACAAACCTATTATATGGTAAGAACTGAGAGGCAACTTTGCATGCCCCACCTCCATCTGCCCAATTCTTATTCCTTTGACAGAAAAAATCCTTTGGGTTAAGATGTCATGTTACCAGGAGAGTCCGTTTAGAATGCAAATAGCCATGGAAGAAGACCTATTAACGTTAGTATCTTGGCATGCACCCATTCCTAGATGCCACCTTGAGAGTGGAGACCAAAGGAATGAGACACAACACAGTACAGTTTCAGAGGAGGCAGAGGGAAAGATGTTGGGGGACTGGCTGGGGAGGACCAGCTTGGGTGGGACACAGCCTTGGGAAGTCCCACACAGTCAGATGTCAGTAAAGGCAAGAGAGACAGGATGCAGAAGGAGGACAGGGGCTAAGGAAAGAGGCCTGGAAAGAAATCAAGAGAAGGTCAGAGTCCCAAAAGGGGGAGGGCACTAGGCTAATATTTTGCCAGTTGGACACTTGTGTTAGGACTGGCTCTGGTACCGTTTCTCCAGGCCTGAGCCCAGATACTCTTATCAGCTCTCTCCTCCCTTGGCCTCTCTCACCTCCCTCGTGATCTCTCACTAAATCCTGCTGTTTTCAATTCCATGTCGCTTGGATCCTGCCTTCATGTCTGGTTCCCAGATACAATTCTGCTGCTGTCGGCCCTGAGGGTCACACCAGGACTGTGTTCCACCCTTCATCCTGGTTCCATCCTTGCGGGATATATCTCCCACTTCAAAAATCACCTCCCTCTCATGTGGGTGATCCCAACACTCCCTTCTCCCCGGGGCCACCTGTGACTTCAAAGACACGCGCTAGTAAGTGAAACTCCTGACTCTCCCTTAACGGACTCCTAACCTGCTCCCTACCTAAGGTCCTTTTTAGGAATAGCTAACACTCGTATAGTGAATTACAGTTTATGGAAATATTGCCATCAACTATAACCTGGCTGGCACCCCCAACACGGAAACCACCCAGGCAAAGACCACTCGGGCTTCTATTGGTCATTATTGCCAAAGCCAATGAATACCTTTCATTTATTGTCTTGCCCTTCTCTTTGCCACCTGTGGCATAATTCAACATACTTTCATTTTTGTTACTCTCCCCTGCCCGTCTCCCTGGCATGACTGTATGCCACTTCTTCACGGCACTGGCTGTAGCCTTTGTCCACTCAGCCTCCCTCTCCTCACCTTGGTAACTGCCCCCACCTCCCTGAAGAGAGTGAGCAACAACCCCTGTGGGCCAAGCATAAAACCAAATCTCTCTGCCCTCAGTAATTGAGCCAGAGATGGGTCACACGTCCCAAATCAGGCCAGTTTTCCACCAGGACTTTCTAAATGAAGCTGGTTGGGGCACACCTTTAATGGATCTGTGTTGCTGTATAACAAATACTCCCAAAATCTCAGTGGCTTATAACAACCAATATTTATTTTCTCATCCATGAGTCTGTAGGCCCGATGTGGCCAGGATTGGCCTCAGGTGTGCTTCCCAGGCTTCATTCCCTCTGGACCAGCGGCTACTTAGGGCCTACTCTTCTCAGAAGAGAGCCCAGGAATACAGAGCAAGATGAAACACAGGATGCCTCAGATGGCCTTGACCCAGAACTGTCACATTGTCACTATCCACATTTCCAAAGCAGACCGTGTGGCCAAACCCAGCATCACTGAGAAGCTGCCTGTAAGTGGGAGGAATTGCAGTCACTTGGTAATTGGAGGGGAGGGGGGGGAGGAGTGGGAGTGGATAATACAAATATCCCTGCATGGGAGTGGGGCACAAAGAACCGGGAACAGTAACCAACCTGTCACACTCCCTTTACCTTTCTGAACCCAGGCTCAGACATTAGGAGTGGATGGACATTAGGAGTTGCCCTGGCCATGCCCCCACCATGTGGGGCTGGACTGAGGATGAAGCCCGTGCCCAAAAATCAGTTCCTGGATCTAGTGGTCCGGCTCCATCCCTGCCGTCCCAGGTTTTAGTTATCAGTTACTGAACTTCCCTTTGGTTTGGGATTCTGTCATTCACTCGCCAAGAGGACCGGCAAGTTTCTTCTCTTACCTCTCAAGTGGTCCTTGTTGGCCTTGTGTTCTGCACTCGGCTCTTCTCTCTCTAGAAAAGGAAGGAGTCAGCAAACTCTGGTTTGTGCCAGCCACCTGTTTTTTGTAAACAAAGCTTTATTGGAACACAGCCATGCACATTAATTTACATACTGCCTGTAGCTGTTTCTACACTGCACTGGGAGAGTTGGATAGTTATGGTAAGAGACCATATGGTCCACAAAACCTATTTACTATTTGGCCCTTTATAGAAAAAGTTTGCCTGGTCCTACTCCAAAAGATGGAGGCCATGTGGTTTCCCTGGCCAGTCTCATCCACCTGCACACTGGTGACTCCCAAATCTCTCTGGCCCCAGACCTCACCCCTGCATCTTAGGATAATCGTGCACATCGTTTTCTGCTCAGATGCCCCACAAGCTCCTCAAATTCAAGGAGCCTTCAACTCCAGCTGAGCTCACCCTCTCCCCCTAAACAGAATCCTCTTTCCTAGTCCCCAGTGTGGGCAAGTTGTGCTGCCTTAGCAGCCGGTAGCCCAAACTAGAACACATCGTAGACTCTCTCTTTTCTCTCCTCCCCCTTCTTCCCTTCTTCTCTTTCCCTCCCCTGCCCCATCAACAGGTTGTGCTGGTTTTGCTTGGAAACATTTCTGAAATCTCTCCACTCTCCAGCCGTCACGTATCCTCACTTGAGTCATTGCAGCCTCTTAACTTGTCTCTCTGTCTCTGGTGTTTTCCACCTAAACCATCCCTGCCCTTCCGGGAGGGAATCTTTTAAAGCACCAATCCTGACCTGTTGTAAACTTACTCAGTGGCTTCCATTAGGAGTCAAGTCCAACCTTGATACCCCAGCACACGAAACCTAAATTTCCTGGCCCTGCTGGTCCTCCTGTCCCTATTCTAGGGTAGATCTCCTCTCACCCAAGACTAATGTGGAAATATGCACACTATGCTGTCTCTGGCCTCTGGTCTTGGTTTATGCCTGTCCCTGCTGTCAGCCCTCCTCACCCCCACCCCTCTTCTGCACTGGCTAACTCATCCTTCAGGATTCAGAACACTCATCACCCCCTTCTAGATGACCCTCTCAGGTACCACTTACCTTCCCAAGCTGAGCTGTGAACAACTTTTTTCTTGTCTCCCAGCTCTCACCCTAAAATTACCTGTTTACCTGTCTGCTCACATCGCTGTCAGCCCCTGGGGCACAGAGCCCATGCTTTATTCATCCCTGTGCCTCTGGCTCCTGGAACCAAGTGTTTGGTGAACAGAGCTGACTGTAAGGTGTTTCTCGCTCATATTACCAAGTACTGAATGTTTACAACAGCCTTTGAAATATCATTCCCAACCTTATGAATTAGGAAACTGACTTTCAGAGAATTTGCCCAAAGCCATGCCGCTGATAAGGAATAGAAGACTGAACTTAAATCCAGGTCTACCGACCTTGAACTGTTGGGAAATTTTGACCACAAAACCTTGCTTTTTTTTTTTTCTTGATTAATCCATTTTATTAGTTATAAAATATATCACAGTTATGAAAGTTATGTCACAAGACATAAATGTGTATCTTTTGTAGTAATAATAAAATAAAAAAATAAATAAAAATAAAAATTTCTATAAAGAGCTCTGTTATCCTGGTGCACCTCTCCTACTATCAGTGTGCAGAAGTTTCTCTGAGGTATACACCTAAGAGTGAAATTCATATATGCACCTTCACCTTTACCAAATAATGCCAAATTTGCCCAATGTCAATAGCATCAGCAATGAAAAGGAGTTTCTGTTACTCCACATCCTTACCAATGTTTGGTATGTGCTGTGGTCTGAATGTTTATGTCCCCCCCCCTCAAAATTCATGTGTGAAAATCCGAGCCTCCCCAAAGATTAATAGTAATTGTAGGTGAGGCCTTAGGAAGTGGAGCCTTTATAAATGGGATTAGCACCTTATAAAAGAGGCTCCAGAGAAATCTCTAGCCCGTTCTACCATGTGAGAACACGGCAAGAAGGTGCTGGCTATGAACCAAGAAGAGGGTCTTCCTGAATGTGACCATGCTGATGCCTTGATCTTAGACTTCCCATCCTCAAAGCTGTGAGCCAAGAATTTCTGTCGTTTGTAAGCTATCCAGTCAGTAGTATTTTGTTATAGCAGCCCCAATGAACTGAGACAATATAAATTTAAAAAAATTTTTTTGCTTTCCTGATTATCGGTGAGATGGAACCATTTTATATAGTTATCAGTCATTTTACTTTCCCTTATGAAAAATGCCTGTTTATGTGTTTGCCTATTTTTCCACTGGGTTATCTGGCATTTTCTTATTGACCCATGGGAGTTATTTATATATTCTGGATGTGAGCCCCTGTCAGTTATGTGTCGTGACAAATAATGTTCTCACTTTATGACTTATCTCTTTATATTTTATGGTCTTGATTTATGAAAGTTCTTAACTTTTATTACAATTGCGTGTATCAATCTTAACCTCTGTGGTTTGTATTTTGTGTGTGTGTGTGTGTATATTTGTTTGTTTAAGGAATTCTTCCCTCCCCCAAAGTCATCAATAGTAAAAGATAGCATTTACTGAGTACTCTCTATGTTTCAGTACTCATTATCCCCCTTTTACAGATGATGAATGCAAAGCACAGAGAAGTCAAGCAACTCCACAGCAAATCAGCCGTGGAGTCAGGTTTTAGCTTCAAATGATGTGGCATCTGACTAGAATTCCTTGAGTTAACTGAGGAACAGACCTCCACCATTTCAGCACTAAAAATAGGCAGTTGATTAAAGGCTTTTGGTGTCCTGTAAAGTGAACAGGACATCCCCTGAAGAAACCTCCTAAGAGGTAGAGGCCGTCACAAACCCCAGAGCAGCCTCCAGCAACTCCTACGCAGCCGGGACCAAAATAGCTCACATAGCATTCCTGCCGCCTCCTTGTGAACTGTGTGGAAAAGAACATTGGTCACGAATTCTTTGTTCCAACCACCCCCACACACCAGGACAGCCACAGCAAGTTCAGGGGCATCTTGGAATCTGGAGAACAGCGTGTCACCGGCTACACATCACACGGACCTAGTCCGTACCAAGTGCTGTCTTCCTCCACAATTAGAAGTTGTTTAAATAAATGCAAAGAAACAGAAAATGATTTTTTTTTAATTAAAAAATAAGATGGGGGCGCCTGGGTGGCTCAGTCGGTTGAGCGTCTGACTTCAGCTCGGGTCGTGATCTCCAGTTTGTGGGTTCAAGCCCCACATCGGGCTCTGTGCTGACAGCTCGGAGCTTGGACCCTGCTTTAGATTCTGTGTCTCCCTCTCTCTCTCTGCCCCTTCCCTGCTCACACTTGTCTCTCTCTGTCTCTCAACAATAAATAAATATTAAAAAAAATTTTTTTAAAGAAATAAAAAATAAAATGGGAGTGAATTGAGTGTAGCAGAGTATGGGGGTCAGATTATAAAGTGTCTCATATGCCAAGCTTAAGAAGTGTGAACGTTATTGTGTCCATGGAGAGGTTTGGTAGCATTTTAAACAGCAAAGTAACACGATCCATTTATTATCTTGCTTGTTAGAGACTGTATGACTAGTTACAATCTGGCTGATAGAATATATTAAGCAGTGGTTGTGCCAGGCTCTGCGGATAGTACCCTCCCACCCCATCCTGGTTTCTTCCTTGCTGACAGAGCTCGCCTCCCACTTTGGAGACTGGAAATGCTCAAGAATCACTTTTCCAGCCTCCCTTGCTGGTAGAACGTGGATGGGCATGTGACCCTAATCCTAGCTAATGGGACCTGAAGGGGAGTCTGCTGGGAGAGTTTGAAAAGGTTTTCCTCTCCAGTAAAAAGATGCATCAGAAGAAATGCCTTGACTTTTCTCTAAATGCGGTCATGTTTGCATGCGATGCCTGGAGCTGCCACTGCGCAAAGGGAAAAGCCTGATACATGAGGCATAGTAGAGCACAAAGATGCAAGTGATGACATCACAGAGCCACATAGAACCACATTCCCTCCAGAGATAACAGGTGTTTTTTCTCTAAGCCACTTGCATTGGGATATTCTGTGACTTGTACCCTAAAGCATCTCAACTGATGGAAGCATTAATAAATCGCCAACACAATGTGATATTACAGAAGATATTTAAAAAAACATTCTTCCTTCAGATATTAATTTGAAAAAATGAACCTCTTAAAATTGCAAGTAGTTAGCTACCATATTAACTGTTCCTTGAACGTTTTGGGTGCTCAAGCAAAAAACTGCAGAACTTGGTGATTACTTGCCTTCATACTTCTCTACCTAAAATGATTTTTTTTTCTCATTTCCTTCTCTCACCCGTGCACTTCCCCTAACAAACACTGAAAACTTTCTCCCAGTTTTTCCACTAGGCAACTATTCTCTCTTCATGAAGTTCTCTCTGTAATGAAGTCATGGCAGTCAAAACACGTTATGTAAGAAGAACCTCAGCATTTTGTGAACAAAAGAATTGTAAGTTCCAGTGCTTCAAGCAGCAATATAGAATCCCAAAAATCTCAAGATATCTTACAAATCCTTTGTAGTAAACCCAGTAGAGTTAAAAAAAATTTTTTTTACGTTTTATTTATTTTTGACACACACACACACACACACACACACACACACACACACACACACACAGGGCCTGAGCAGGGGAGGGGCAGAGAGAGAGAGGGAGACACAGAATCTGAAGCAGGCTCCAGGCTCTGAGCTGTCAGCACAGAGCTCCCATGTGGGGCTCGAACTCGCAGACCGCAGATCATGGCCTGAGCTGAAGTTGGGTGGTTAACCGACTGAGGACACCCAGGCGCCCCCGATTCTAACTTCTTAGATCCAGTAGCTGGCAAAGTTTCCGCAACTCCTTCTGGTTTCATCGGAAGGAAAACCCATTTCTGAAACAAACGTTGGGGTCCTCCATCCTCCAGCTCCGCAGATTCCTTCCTTCCTTGCAGGGATATTTACTGAGGACCTATCAATTGTTGGCATCGAGATGTAATCGATCCAACCTTTATTCTCGTGTTGCTTACAGTATTTCCGGGAACTCGTGACTTTCCCACATACAAACAACTTTGAAAAAGCAAGTGAGAAAAGTCATAGCTGGAGCTGCCAGGTACAGACCGGGCGAAGGGAGGAAGGTGGCTGGCCGCGCTGGGTTGGGTGCGTTTGTCTCCCATCCACTTCCGTGCGTTGCTGCCCGAGCGCTGGCCGGGGCTGGCAGCGAGACACCTCCCTCCCGGCCCTGCAGGTGCGGTCCCCCCGGCGCGCTCGGGGGATCCGCCCTGCGCGGTCTAGTGCGCCGCGAGCCGTGCCGGGAGGCCGCGGCCGGCCGGGCTCCCCGCGGGCACCTGGCGCGGGAAGACTGAGGCCACGCGGGGCGGGAGCCGCACCTGCCGCCGCGCGGGGGGG